TACGCTACCTTTGGGTTTAAAAAGCACACATCGTCCTCTTCGTCTACAGTAGCAGGTCAATACAAGAGCTGCACAAATAATGATAAACATCATAGTACAAGCGATGATAATAAACGTCGTCCATGAATACGGTGAAGAATGACAATCAAAACATAGTTTATCACTTCCGCAGCATTGATCTGTGCAGTCGTCATTTGTCGCACAATGCGTGCTGCATGTATACTTACAGGCTTTGATAGACTCTGTTTTGTTGCTTGGTTTGAAGTCACAACATTTTAAAGTGTGGGTGCAATCCGAGTCAGTCCTACACTCTCGTAGGTAGCTACAATCAGGCGAACACACATTGTTACTATTACAACATTCGCCCTTGACACACTCGTCGTTGTTAGTACATGGATGATGTTCACAGTTCTTTTTGCACGTTCTTATTCGATACGACAAACGTTCTTTACAGCAATATTTGCCATTACGCCTGCATATAGGATCATGAACAGATTTACAATTACACATTTCTATATCGTTTGTACAAACGTTATTCTTACAGCAGATACTGTAAAGATTATCACCACAATGATAAGCATGGAGACATGCTTTGCCAACACAGTTATCACTACAGACTTGGATCAAAGGCTTGTTACTAACTCTACAACAAGGTCTAGCACCGCCACCACAGTCCAAGAACGAAGAGCAGTTACGTTCAGTTGCTTCGTGTTTCGTTACGTTGAAAATCAGTATCACAAACACTGATATATAACGCCGTGCATTAACCACCGACATATTTAAGTGAGCTATTTTAAAATCATTATCGTCAAACGATAATTTGACTCGGCTGAGCGATTTTAAAATCGTTATCGTCAAACGATAATTTAATCATTTTCGTTGTACAGTACTGGTGTGGAGACCAACATACTTAAGAAATCAAGCTATTTGGGCATCAAAACTAATGGACATCTTGAGAAAGTTCACCGGAAATTCATCTTAAATTAAGGTGGCTTGATACAGTTTTTTGAAAATGGAAAGTTTGCAATTAGACCAGTATTTTTCGACAAATCTTACTCGTTGAGAAGCAATAATTATCTTTCTTATGTATAAAAATAAGATCTAAAGAATTTGTCTTTTTAGTTAGTGATTTAACTCGTAAAAGAATGGCAGAAATGAAACAATTATGTGGAATTATGTAATGTGCCGCCTAATCTAAATGCTGTCCTTTTGTTAATTTAGTTATTTCAGTAACATTTACATGGATTTAAACTTTTTAACGTGCGCATAGAGCGTTTGTACTTATTCCCCAGGGACAACAAAAGCCATGGCGGCCTTGTTGGTGTTCCAGACAAAAGAGTTTAATTAAAATTCTTTTGAATTGGAACTCCGACATGGCGGCTGTGATGTCATGTGAAAACGCTCTACTGCAGCCTAGTCCCAGGTCTCTCTCTCTCTATTCGCTGCTTTGATATATTTAAATGAGTCTTAAAAGTTTTATGCCTGGGTGTGCTGTGCGGAACGCTTCAGCGAGAGAGCCTAGCAGATTTCGGTAAAATGGTCCCTGATTTCAAAAAAGTGGTCCCTGGCCTGGTTACAAAGCATACCGCATTTGTAAATAGAAAATGTTATGGAAATTTCCTTTGCGTTTATATAATTAAGTCATTAGTTCTGCTCTAATGCTGTCGGAACAATGAAATAGGCTACGTTTCGCTACCATACGGTCAGAATGGAATAACGGGCTAAATATGACTCGTGTTTACTAAAATATAAAGCCATATTAAATGATATCTAGAAGCTTGAAAATTATGCCGAGTCTCCGACTAAAAATGTTTTGACAACACAGTCATGTCAGGCAAATATTTCCAATCTCCTCAGCTACTTAAAACTGTCAACTAGAAGCGTAATTGTGTATACCAGTATCATGGTCTAGTGTTGATCACAACTTGCGAGTATATAAATATCATCAACGATTATACGATCATTGCTCAGACTCAGTATCGTAAATTTGTATATATTTTTTAATTGAGCACATTTTTAATACAGTTTGAATTTGGTTATGTAGACATCGAACATGATCAACGAACATTGTCGTATTTATACAAGGTTATTTGTATATATAAATTTTCCGCCATATTAAAAATACTGAAATCTGCTAGGCGTTCTGAAGCACCTTTAGCGGTGACGTCACACCTAGGTCCCAGTCTCTTACTACATCCACGTTTTTTCTCGCGCTTGCTTCAGAACGACTGGGACTAGGCTGCCTTCCACTCATATGGATTTCCTCCCACAAGACAAATTATTTTTATATGAATATGCTGTGTTATACTGAACAGTGTGGTCTATTAATTGTGTACAGGACTGAAATTGAATTATACACTTCACTCATGACCTTCAAAACATTCTCTACTGATAAGTGGTCTTCAATATATGACAATATATGATTGACCACCTTGCTACAGTAATGTAAGTTCCTGGAATAGTTT